TTCTACTTAAGTAGACTAAAGAGATCTATAAGGTTAATAATAATAATAATACTCGAAATATAAATTACAAGGTATTTATATACTAAAAGAGTCTAGGATAAAGTAGTTTTAATCCTTCGGGCTTATTAGTAATAAGGTAAATCTCTATCTATAGAAATATAACCTTAATAAGCTAGATTTAGTAATATTTTATAATATAAAAGATAATAAGAATAAGAATCCTTAGTCTGTATTTATAAGGTTTATTAAAGTAGTAGTAAGTATAGCGCTAGCTATATAAAAGTTATATTATTATAAAGAAGTAGTATAAGAGCTAAAAATGTCCTTTAAGATTAGGCTATAAGACTAATAACTAAAAATAGTAAAGGATTATATTCGATTAAATATTACTATTTAGTATAAAGGGTTACGATTTTTCTATAAGGAATAGCTTATTAAGTTAGTTACTTATTAAGTTTTATAGAATTTAACTAGGGAAGTTATTTAAATAACCTTACTTTTATTTATATTAGTATATGTTTTCTAATTCTAATATAGCTACTAAGGTATAAAGTAGTTTAGTAAGAAGGAGCTTAGAAATTTATCTAAATAGAAATGTTAATAGATATAGAACTAGCTTATTATTAGATACCCCTTTTTAGAAGATCTAGATTCTACCTAGAAATATTAATTTAACTATAATATAATATAACCTTTTTAATATTAGCCCTTAAAAGAGCCCTCGAGGGTGCTTTTAAATGTGACGGAGCTGGATTTCATTCGCTTGGCCAAGCACGTGACGAGACTTGGCATTGGAACAACTTAAAATAACTTCGCTCCTTTCAGATTCTCTTCTCTCTTTAGTTTGATTTCTTCGTACCTACGGTTTTAGTTCTAGCAATTGATTCAAAAGCTGTATACACTTTATCCTTTGTTGGCATCCGTGACATTAAAGAGTTTTTAAACTTAACTATATCTCTTAAGAATAGTAACTCTTAGGTAGCTCCTCTAATTAAAGATAGAAGGATTTAAGTTCTATAGTCTTTAGGTACCCTAGGGAAGGCTCCTAGTATTTTTATAAGAATACTAGGCGCTTATATAAGTAATAATTGTTAAGGTTAGTGTAACGAATACTCAAACTGGCTAACTAAACTTGGCTGGGTGTTCGCTGGTTGGTATGCTATGATAAGAAGAAGACTATCGGGTTGTTCACTTGGAAGTGAACTCGTTACTTGTATCAAAGATGTCAAACTAATATGATAAGATTGATAACTAAGTTGATAACTTAGTTGAGCACGAAGCTCCTATCTAATGGCAGACGTGCCAGTCTTATATAGGACCTTCATGTTCCGCCGTCGCCTACATCGATGTTCACTTGGAAGTGAACTCGTTACTTGTATCAAAGATGTCAAACTAATATGATAAGATTGATAACTAAGTTGATAACTTAGTTGAGCACGAAGCTCCTATCTAATGGCAGACGTGCCAGTCTTATATAGGACCTTCATGTTCCGCCGTCGCCTACATCGCCTGTCGATACTGGCGATGCAAATGGTCACGTGATTACAATGTAATGAAATCCCTGGATCGCTTAGCTAGTCTAAGCATCCCTATTTGCTATAAGAGATATGATAGTGCTCGACCTGTCAGGACGCCGCCTGGTCTTCACTTGTCACATGCTTACGTGATTCGTGACACGAGGGTTGCGCCTCTTATTATGACAAGTATCACGTGAACACGTGATTCGTGACATTATACTTAATACTATCTAGATTTTAGCTTATATTACTATAAAGGGCTATTAAGTATAATAATAGTAATTAATACAAATATTATCTTTAGTATTATTAGTAGGATTTAAATTAACCTAGAACCTTAAGGTCTTGGTGACGGTTAGAACCGTCACCGGTCTTGGGAAATAGTATTTTATAGTTAAAGGTTAAAATATAAAGGAGAAGAAGTTATTTTCTCTTAGAGAATAGTAGTTAGTTTAGATATAAAGACTATTATACTTTCTTTATTTATACAGTCTTTATATAAATTATAAATTCTTTAGTATTTAGGTTCTTTATTATACTTACTTTATTTATACTTTTATAAGTATAGTAATTAGAGTAGAAAGATAGAAGAGAACCTTATATTTATAGAAGTAATAAATAGAAGTAGATTAATTACTAATCCTTTATTACTAATCTTTACTTAGTAAGGGATTATAAAGTATAAAATCCGAAAAGTAGAGACGTCTACTTTATAGTACCTAGATCTCTACTTTTAACTACCTAATTAGGCCTATATACGAAATTTTCGTATATATACGAGAATCTCTACTACCGAGTTCCCAGAGGGTTAGTAGACAGGAAAAAGGTAGTAAAGTCTCGATTTATTATCGTAGCTTATTTTCGAAGCATTTGGGTAATAATGATTCCAGTACTAAATGGATGTTTGGTTTCCTGTCACGGGTAAACCAAAGCGGAACTTGCCGGGCTAGCTCAACTATTAGAGTCAGCCAGATTGAAAAATCGTTTTGGTGGCCGCTCTATTTGTGGGGAAACACAGGCCGATTGTGCCGCCAGTTCTATTCTATATAAAACTATTGTAGACCACTTGGAAAAAATCGCTAAAATATTAGATAAATACGAGATTATTCATTACAAGCTAATAAATAGCCTCCTCAAATTTAGGAGTTTTCCCTAGTATTCCCGAACGTCAGCTATAGAAATTGTCGTTGCGTGTTACGCGACAGCCCGTCTCGGCTAAAGTAAAGCAGCCGCCAAAAACGTCACGTTGCCTACAAATCTTTCTGGCACCAAATAAGGACTCTGAACCATATACCAAAGAAAGACGTGCGAAAATCGCGTCCTCTGCAAGAGGAGAGGCCGAAGAAGGCCCGGCTAGCTCAATTGGTAGATCGTGTGACTCAAAATCACAAGGCTGCGGGATCGTAAGTATACTCCTCCTCTATTAATATATGATCTACGCTAACCGCATCGGGCTTAGGAAACCCGCGTTGGGCTCAATCCCCACAATACTTCAAGTCTCTTTAATCTTTTTTTGTGAATTTTTTGGGGGGATTTTCTCGTATGTAGTGGCTCGGTAGGTAGCGAGAGACTTTTTCCTTGGCGTGCCTCGCTAATTTAGGGGCGAGGGTACGAGTAGACTTTTTGGATTCGGGCAGTTGAATAGTTTCTTTAGATAATAAGATGGAAAGAATTAGACAAGAAGGAAAGAATAAGTACTATGTTTTATCTTCTTGGTTAACGTGAGAAACTTGGTAATATCTTGGTTCATATCTTCTCGGTACCTAAATTTCATGAACTAACGAAATAGGAGTACTTTAGAGAATATCTGAATATTTCATTTTTCATACTCTTAGTATTAATTCTCGATATATAATTTCACGAGAACTACCGGAATACTATATTATAAGTCTATGTTCTATAACTAGATGACGCATTTAGAGAGAAGGGGAGATGAGATAGTTTTAGTAGACAGATGTTACAATAGCAGGGAAGCCATTCCAGCGGGCAAAATCACAAAAAGACAAAGACCGTTAGATAGCTTGAGGAAAAGTCATATATCTGGTCTTTCCCCCGGGGTTATCTTGATATTACAGGTCAAGCTACTAGGATAGTTCACATAGAGTATAACCAAACCTTGACGGTACCCTGTAGTACCAGATAGCTGAAATGACGGAAGTATTAATGATTTCGTGCTCAAGGTACCAAATCACTTGACGAGAATATTCCTAGTGTTTCCTAGGATTTTTCATATGAGCTACCTGCCTTGAGCAAATAGAGAACGCTAGGTTGGACCGTGTACTATAACTTCCCCTCGTTTGGTTTGCTTGCCAAAATCCCGAAATGAATCTCCAAAACCAACTAGAGTACTATTCTCTTCCTAGGTAAATGGGGTGTTTGAAGATGAAATGGCGAAAGAAATATTCATCCCAAAGAGAGATACCAAGAGACTATACAATGTTTACTCTTGCTGCCAACAGGTAGTTAGATTAATTTTCCCACGGGACTAGATATATGTTCTTAGTTAAGTAATCTGAAGGTTTAATAATACAATTTTTTACTGATAACATCCGTATATTATCCGTACTATTGATATGAGAATTTTGCCGTAGGGAGGGGGAGGCTAATAAAATGAATGAAGAAATAATTAAACAAGGTAGGTAGAAGAGTAGTAGAAGGAGTTTTAATAACACCGGAACTTTATCTAGAGTATATTGTTCCTTAACTTATTTCGAAGAACGGAATCCTTGATTAGAAATCCTAGGATAAGTAATGGTAGTTTTCCTTGTTCTAAAGAGTTTAGGCTAATTACTTGTAATCTATCTAGAAAGGAGGGACATCGAGAAATGCTTTGTAAGGGACTTTTGTTGTTTTCTACCCGTGATTTCAGAATGAATTCTATAGATGGAAAGTTGGGAGTAGCCATGCTATGGTTATATAGGTGCTAGTTTCTAGTAGACAAGACTCGTACATTTCAAGATCTATAAAAGATTAACCTCAACAATTTAAGCGAAAATAACTAAAGCGGATTCATAAAACATAAGGCTCGTTTAAGCCTGTTTTCATATTGTATCTCTGGGGCGCTATACGACAACATTCCTAGCTTATAATTCAAGTACGGTGAACCTGTTATATGGGTCGGTGTTTCGTTTAACCTTGAGTAGCTTCTAATAGCACGACTAGTTATGGAAAAAATGCTAGAGTGGTGTTAGAGTAAGCTTAGGTACTACTCCATTTCCTCACTTCTATTCGTCTTTAGACCAGAAGCTATATAGCTTACAAGCTCTATAACCACAAATTCCAAACTCGGTAAAGGTAAGACTTGGTTCCAAGAAAAGCAAACAAGAATACTTCAATCTTTATAGTATTCAATTCTCAATACACAATCTACCCTACAAAAGAAAAACACACAAAAATGCTATACTAGACGATATCGAACAAACCCACCCCTTTAAACATTCCCCCCCTCCAAATCCAACCCAATACCCCCATTGCAAACAAACCTCAAATAAAAGCACCCCACTCCCCCTCTCCCTCCGATTTATCCCCCTCAATCCTCCCCCTCACACTCCCCTTCAACCCACTCTTCACCGCACCAACACTAACCGGCCTCCTCGCACCTTTCAGAATCCTCGGCCCAGGACCCCCTCCCACATCCCTCCCTCTCCCCCCTTCCGGCGCAAAACTCCTACTCTTCTCCGCGGTCCTCGATCGCGAGCTCTCCCCCGGAACCACATTCGCACGACCCGACCAGCCCATTCGCGCCGTCAACTCGGTTTCCGCCTCCGGACCACCAAGCTCGGACGATGGGTCCCCATGGAGCGTCACGTTCGCTAAATCCACCCGAATATCAGCCTGTGTCTCCCAGCTGCCATCGGAGTAATCATCCGGCAGGAAGTCTTCGTAGGAGTCTTCTTTTTGCTTGTGCTGGCCCAGAGAGGGGGATGTGAGGTCCATGGTTGGCGAACGTGAGAACTCTATCGCGGACTCGAACCTACTATCTCTACTTTCTAAACTCTTGGCGCTGTCCCTCGTCCCGAAGTCCTGGTCTTGGATGTAGAAGCGTGGGTTCGCGCGTTGATTCCCTGGCCATGCCGTAGGAGATCCCAAAGGAGTCTCGGGGCTCCTCAACGAGCGTGTTGTGCAGGGTGTGTTCGAAGGATGGGAAGATGGGGGTTCTTCGGGGAGTTCTTCGGGGACGGTGGGCGAGTCGGCGTAGGAGGTTCGGTTGCGTGGTGGTGCGTAGCGAGAGTCGCGGTTGTTGGAGCGCATGGAGCCGCCCCCGAAGAAGGGCGACGAGCCTATGCGTCTAGATACCGGACGGGAGTTTCTTGAACTACTCTTCGAGCCAAGACGGGCTACATCTTGGACTTCTGGGGATCCTGTTACCTGGCGGATGCCCATGTGCATAGCTGATCGAAAAGGAGGTGATGCGGAATATGTTGATGAATACTCGGATAGAGCGCTGACGTTACTTGTACTTGGTGGTCTCTCGGTTTGATTCGAGGACGTGGCTACTGTTTTCCATGTTTTGGAGTTTCGGGCTAGACTTGGGTTATGGCCTAGGTTGTGGTTGAGATTCGTGTTGGTGGTCCAGACTTGACCGTGACCACTACTTCGTCGCTTATTGCTTTTGCTGGAGATGGAGGAGATGGATCTATGTACACCGTGACCGTGACCATGAGCGGTTCTTCTCCGCCCTTCAAATCCAGGAAACATTCGGGACTGCCGACGGGTTGTTCGACTTGTCACTTGACTGTTGTTTGTTCCCTCGGGAACATATATGATTTCTGGTTCTGGTGAAATGGGCTTTTTTCCAAGCGCTGAGAAACTGTCGAGTGGACTGGCAGATATATCGCTTCCACTTAACCCAAGAATACTTGACTCTCTTTTCACAAAATCAAGGTATTGAGTTGTTTGGGGTGGCTGAGATGGGGTGTCGAGGTATTGTAGTGTTCGAGGCTGTGGAGGTGGAGTAGGAGGAGGCGAGGAGTGAGCGAGTACTGCGACATTTGGATTGCTCTCCTCTCTATCTCCAATTACTACTGGCTCCAAAATGTGCGCCGATCGACGTTTATGACCTTTCCGAGAGTAATTTGAATATGTCCTCCCCAAAAGCTGCGATGAATTTGTGCGAGACGACCTTAAAGTTTGATGAGATGCGCTCTCTTGTGTAGATCTCCAACTCGAGTTCTCAGTTTTCGTCAAAGCATTCTCTGAATATGAACGGACCCTGTTCACACTCGATTTAACCTCACCTGGCGGGTCATCAGTGATGCTAATCGCACCTGACATCACTTGCAACCTTCGATCGACCCCATCCCCTGATATCGTCTGCGATCTTCTCATCCTCCGGTCTTGGGGTGGACTTGACTTTCTTGGGAAATATCGCCATGATTCGTGTTTTTCGTTCGTTGTAAGTCCATGTATGGAGTTGTTATCAAGGGACGTACAAGTATCAAGCTCAAGAGGTGGAGGAGCGGCCACAGGAGGTGGTAGTACAATTTCTTCAACGCTGGAATGAGATTCGATAGGTGCTGATATATCCGATTTGGTGATACTTGCCGGACGTTTTTTCGCATCTCGACGTCTTTTGCAATAGCAGAGGAGGCAGGCGAGAAGAGCGAGAAGAACCACTAGGGGAATTGTGATTGCCATCGCGAGAATTGCTCCTCTACTAAGCTTTCTGTTTGTAGATCCTCCAAAGGCAGTTTCACTAGCGGTCTGAGATAGGTTTGTGGTTGGACTTGCTCCTGGGATTTTTGTTGAAGTTCCAGAAGAATCGAGCTGAGCAGCAACTACAAACTTAAAGGTCTGTGTTTCTGATGCTCCAGAGACCTTTGAGGTGGCTGTAATAGAAATATCAATATCACCAGGTTTTGTATCTTCAGGTACATGACCCGCCAATTCAACCTTTGTATCCAAATGTATCCAAGTCTGGGAAGGGTCTGTTTTGAGGTCAACCGTGACATCGGAAGGGTCGCTCAAATATATATTCAGGTCGTACTTGAAATCCGAGTCAATTGTCGCGTTCAACTCGGGTATCTCTTTGCTGATTATGGAATCTTCGACTTGCAGTAGTATCGTTGCATTCGCGCTGTCCCCATAGATATCTTCGGCATGTACTGTGAGGTTCTTTGGTACCACATGTGGTGGAGCTGTTCCCGATATCTTCATTGTCGAATTATCGAATTCGAGCCACGATGGGGTATCGGTCGTAATGCTTTTTATGGATGTGGAATTTGCGGTTTGCCCGTCGAGTTGAAGGTTATCTGCAAGACCAGCAAAATCAACGGTATTTCCTCCAGTCGCATTCAAAACCATTGACGTATTGCTAAAAGATAGTTGATGAGGGCCAACCGTAAGGTCGAAAACCATCGAATTACCAGCGAATCCGTCTACGTCCGAGGCAATAAGCATAATGCCAAAAGTCTGCGGGGGTTGAATCAATGAGGCATAGTCTGGACTCTGGCCACTGAAAGTCAAGGTACTCCCATCGAATTTCACCCAGGACAGTATTGGTGTATGATCGTCTGTGGCTGCGTAGTATTTGAGTGTATTGCCTTTGCCATCGCTCGAAAAAGTGTTCGGGTCGAATGAAAATTTGAAAGGGGTAGTCAGATGGTATGACAAAGTTGAGGGAACCGAAAAAGTTCCAAATGAAGGAAGTTGACTTGAAAGTGGAATGTTGACAGCCAGCGCTGGGTTTTTCGAGACTATCAGTGTTGCACTCAGTGTAACTGGTCCCGAAGAGTCGCTAGCTGTAAGGCCAATTACCACCTCTGTCAATGTGTCCGTCCCAACATCCTTCTCAGATGGCGTCCCTGATAATGTGCGAGTTTCGTTATCGAGAGAGAGCCATTTCGGTCCAGTAAGTTGATACGAAATGGGAAGACTCGAGGAGAAAGTTGACTTGGGGAAAGTATATGAGAAAGGTTCCGAAACCCTGGCGATTCGGGGTACTTGGGAATTAAGAGGATAGTCGATGGTTGGGATGGAAAGCGCAATATTTATTGCTATAGAAGCAGCAATGATATTCCACCCGAACAACATCCTTAGGAAATCAGATATCCCTAGAAATATCCAATGCGCCTAGATCTGACGCTCCGATGATATTGACAGGCTACTTTCAAAAGAAGAGAAAAAATAATAACCTTTCGAAATCCATTCGAGTGTACCAAAAAAGAGAAGAAACCGAGAAGACAGAAAGAGATGGACATGGTACGGGCAAAGAAGCATCAAATCAAAAATTAGATGCGAAGGCGGGGATCAGGGAGGCGCCCTTATCGCTGTGTATCGCCTTGCTTAAGGAATTTAACACCAATGGTTCGCGACAAGGGATTGAACAGGTTTCCAACCAAGCCTTGTGGTGGTATAAAACACAAGTAAAAAATCACTTGGCCATTAACGTGGTGGGGGTGAGGATGGCTGGTAAGGTTGGAAGGTTGGAAGGCATTCGCGTGCCGAAGCCCAATCACCAGAAGACTCTACCAGTGTCACATCGCGATGCAGAAAGCAACGATGTTATTTATCGACGGCCAAGAAACTTCAGAATCATAAGGGAGGTTTCAAATTATACCATTTCGTACATAAAATAAGCCATCCTCGTTTGCGCTTTCATTTTGATGAGTTTAGATGGTAGTGAGGGGGAGGTAGGGAACCAAAAGGCGTATAGAAAGTTCAAGGAGGTCCGGTCTCCCTAGGAAACATACAGGAGCACAAGAAGAGGACAAAGAAGTGATTGTTGAAGGTGCAAAGGTTCGAATCACAGCCCTTGGGTTGTTGCAATTAAGGGATACATGGAGCGCAGGGGCGATTCAACCTAAATCGGTTAGAGGCTTGGAAGTTGGGAAATTAAGCGAACCGAGAGGATGCGAGTAAGACAGTTGGACCACCATACTCTGGACACACCTGGGTTAGAACAATATGTTGTTCTAAAAGCCTCGTACAACTGAAATTATTATACGAGCAATTTAGAATAATTCAAAATAATATATCTCTATTAATCTAAGTGATTTAGAATAATTAAGTTGATTGTTTTAGGGATTCTAGTACTCGTATAATAGGTTCTTAGGGTGTGTCCAGAGTTTCGTCCAACTGTCTTACAGCTTTTAGGGTACAAAGCACAAGCCATTGGGTACCAAATGAAGAAGAGCCAAATAGTTTGACCCCGCCCTTCGCGCTGTCGCCTTACTAGGTTTATATCGAAGATTGCAGCTTACTTCAGTGCCTTTCAAGGCTCAGGGAGAGACCTGACTTACGGAAAGATCCGAAGGACATCCTCTCGACTACTTTGATCAACGCGCATTGGGTCATCTTTGCGCAAGTATCCATAATGTTTCCTTTCCAATGGCTTTACTGATATCCTCAGTAATGTTAGATGCGATTTGGGATTGGTTTGTGCCTGGTTCCTATTCGCTGGCCCCCATATTGACACCCAGGAGAAACGCTGGCTCATCAACTTTATGATGCTCGTAGCTTAATATTCCAATGGCTCCAGGCTCCAACATCATGGGTAGACTAGTACTCAGAGGGAAACCAATCCAGCGTTTTGCGAAAGCCCTCAAGATGTGCCCGTGTGCAATCAATAGCACGTCCACGCCCTGTTCTCCGTGCATGTATGGGCCTTGGATCTCCCTTATTGTGCTAATGATACGATCCAGCCGTGCGGAAACTTCGGCGGGGGATTCGCCTTCTTCACATCCATCCGTCCAGATGTTCCAGGGCCTTTCCTTATCTAGCCCTTTCTCCTTGCGAGCTGACCTTATCTGAGCAGTCAAGAGACCCTCATAGGTACCATACTCCCACTCCCGTATATCCTCCGACGTCTCGGCTTTCTCTCTGAGATCCTTCTGCTGTGACCCGTCGAACAGAATTTCGAATGTGCGTTGGGCTCTTGTTCTTGGGCTGATGAACAACCGGGCGAGTTTCGAAGGATCAACGATTTTCCCAGGACCGACAATAACTTTTGCGGAACTGGCGACTTGCGATTCGCCGTTGGGTGTTAGGGGAAGATCGCTGCGTCCGGTATAGCGACCTGAGATAGTCCATTCGGTCTCCCCTGGACTAAGGTCAGACTTCATGGGCTGTGGTGGAGCTATTGGGTTGGGGTAGAAGCAGACGCAAATGAAGTCTCAGAGAGAAGAAATGTACATACCGTGTCTGACGAGAAAGACTCTTGGTGTTCCAGCATCCTTGTCGGGCATCGTGGTGGTTTATAGTGGTGTTGCTACTCGAGTACGATGGTAGAGAGAATGTGGGGGTGGAGGGGTAGGATTTATTGCAGGTACGCTTGAGGGTCCCTGAGGTGTGTACCTAGGTATTTTTGGGTGTGGCTGAAAGTGGGGCATCAACCCACCTCATCAACCGAGATCACGAGGCATGGTTCACCTCACCTGCATACCTACTCTACGGAGTACTTGTAAATACATTTCATTACATTTCTTTCATTACATTTCTTTCATTACAGAAAGTGCTTGGAGGCTCCTTCACCGAAGACTCATGATCAGGCTGGCTCGTCATGGTAGGTATAGGCGTAAGTAGGTGTACGAGGGTCTAGGAGGTCATTACTTAGGTGATCCTAATTCAATGTAATCTCAGCCTTTGTAGGTAGTACCTAGTCTCATGGGTAGTCAGTAGGTACCTAGGTAGTCTCGTCGGATGGGTAGTCACGAGGAGTAATGTTGCTTGTAGGTGCCTACTGTAGGGTCCTAGGTCATAGATCCTAGATGCGGTGGCTATGTACGAAGGTACGGTAGCGAGGGTAGATGGGCACAGGGTAGGTACTGCTGAGAAGATGCGGCTGCAATGATGGTTACACTGGCCTCGGGTAGCCTACCTGTTCTTGGGTAGCGCCTGAGTAACTTCGCGCTAAATCTGGAATTGTGCCGGTGGATGTCGACTATAGTAGCAAGAAGCAACCAGGTCCGTTGTACAAGCTACCTAGGTCCGCTGCCGCTACCACTCGCGCTAGCTAACCTATATTTATAAGCCCTCCTCCTACTGATCCATGCAGGGGCAGCACTGCGCTCATTCTCATTCTCATACTCCAACTCCAACTCATACTCAGCAAAAGTGAATCTCCAATACCAACTCCTCTATACATTCGTTTCGGAGACAGCCCACAGCCCCAGCCCACAACCCACAGCCTACAAATACAACCTTGCCGGATACCCTGAACTTCTCTGTACAAGCAAACCCGACACAGACATCATTTGCGATATCAATCACGCTCGCTCACAGACCTCTCAGACATCTACATCTACTACACCACGAGAGACCGACAATCAATCAAGATGGAGCAACGACACGGCCACCATCAACATCGCCGTCACCCTACGCCTACTAGTCCTAGGGCATACGCTCATTCTCACCGAAGCAGCCTTCCTCCTTCAAATCCAGCACATGGTCGACCTGTACGATCGCGCGGAATGATGAATGTCAATGAGATGCTCAATACTAATGCTAATAGTGGCAGTACTGCTGAGAGCTCTCTTCTTGAACGACTGCAATTTCAACAACAACAACAACAACAGCAGCAACAACAACAACAGCAGCAACAACAACAACAGCAGCAACAACAGCAGCAACAACAGCAGCAGCAACAACAACAACAGCAACAACAACAGCATCAACAACAACAACTTGCTCCCCAGGCTCATGGCTACGGCCAAATGAACTTGCCTGTCTTCAACCATCATGCTTATGGCCATCCATTCATGCGGCAGCCATTCCACCAGCAAACTCAACCTTCTTCTCCCCAACCTTATCCCCAGCCTCGCCTTCAAAACCGTCAGAGTTCGAGTTTGGCTTCCCAGCAACCCCATACTCAACCTTCCCACGCCGGACAACCACCCATACAGCCAAGATTATTCAACGATCCCAATAGGTACGAGAACGAGGTCGATTTTATGTCTTCTCGAGACCACCCAAGACAACTCTCCGAACTTGACGGGAGTGCTCCTCCATTTCATCCTGCCTATGACAGAGCAGCATATGATAACAACTTGCAACAACACACCATTCATAATCAAGCTCTTTCTGATGGCCACTTCCAATGTAAGTCATCTCATAGTTGTCAAGTGCATGTTTACCAAAATTGAGTCAAAATGAGAACTACACTTCCCGAAATATCCTCGCCTTTATCTATCCGCCTATACATATTCCAGCACTACCTCCTACTCAAATTATTCTACTAAGTGTGTAATATACAGATGGGCTCCTTCACAGAGATCTTCCAGAATCTTTTTGGTTACCCGATCACCCTCGACAGTTACCCCGGCCTTTTTTGACGAACCCTCCAGCAATGACTTCGGCAGAGCCATCTCCAACTTGCGTTATCTGCTTTGAGGAAAAGGAAGCAAGTGAATTTCCATACAAATGTCCCAAAAACTGCCCGGAACAACAAACTTGTAACTCGTGTCTCAAGGACTGGTTCATAGAAGCTTGCAGGAACGAATCGAGAATGCCGCCCAAATGCTGCTCGGCTGAGCCCATTCCATTTTCCACGGTCTTGCACCTTCTGAGCTCTGAACAGGTACGTTTCTATGAAGAAATCTCCACAAAAACTCATGTTTTATTGATTTGCACACAAGCATGACAAGGAGATGTTCATGATGATCAGTCGTCATATCGAGGCTAACTTGGTTTAGATTAAACTTTACAAATCTAAATACGAGGAATGGAGTACCCCAAATCGCATCTACTGCCCTGTACCAACATGTTCGGCCTTCGTTCCGCCCAAATTATATGCCATACCAGAAAAGCCTCTTTATGTACTAGATCCCGAATTTAACCCAAGTCAACCGCCTCAACCAGGGTTAGCACCAACACAAAGACCCAATGTCGAATGCCCAGCCTGTTACACCTCTATTTGCACCAAATGTCGATCATTTTCTCATCGTGGAGAATGCAAGGAAAGCGATATCGACCCTTTACTAGAGAAAAAGTTGAAGAAATGGAAGATCAAACGCTGCCCCAAATGTCGGGCTGGAGTGCGCAAGGTTTTCGGTTGTTCACACGTCCAATGTCGATGCGGTGCTCATTTTTGTTTTCAGTGCCTCAAAGCACTGAATCAGTGCTTTGGTTGCGAGGACGACGATCAAACGGAGGATGAAGAGGGCTCCAGACCACCTCAGCGAGTTTTGGTAGATGAGGATGATTTAGACGGTCGTACACAGTTCTTTGAAGGAGACGGTCATAACTTTGGAAATGAGCCACATGGGGGTATGTTCCTTGACGCGTGGGCTTGTCAGCATCGTTGGGCTCAATGGGGCCATGTACTGTCAAGACCACAGCATACGGGAACGTTGCAAGGACCGGAGTGTCAGACGTGCTTTCTGCCAACTTCGTATCTACAAGATGTGCTTAGTCACATTGACCCCGATAACCTCAGACATCGTCAAACGGCATGGGAATGTATTCGCTGTCATGTTATTAAATGCGGGGCTTGTATCGTTCACAATTCGGGGACCTAAATTATCTCTTTATGATCACCACAAAAGTGAGAGTGATGATTCTGAAATGACAAGGCGTTGGGAGTTAGGGCGTCACTAAGCGAAGGGGTCGGCTTTTTCGAGCTAGTTCACGGATACCCATCATCAGGAGACAGCATGGCGTTTGTGTCCTTTTTTTATTTTTACGAGAATGACTTTCCCTTTTTTATTTTTTCCTTTTCTTCATGATAAGCATGTACATTATCAGCGGTGGTATTTTCTCGTCTTTCATTTCTTCTTCTTCATCTTTTCAGCGTGAAGATGTGCATTAGCAGCGATTGTAGTCTGTTCGTCAGACCAACAATACAAAAGTTTCTTTCTTTTCTCGGCCTCGCTAGTTCAAGAGATCTGAATGCCGTGACGTTGTTTCCCACTCCATCCAAGGCTTATGATTAAAAAGTCATGAGCTTGTCTAACGCAAGAACGGAGCCGACTAATGTTTAGAGACCTCGATTAACATAATCGGAATGATTTCTTCGAAAAGATCTAGTGCATGGAATGGGTGTTTTTGTAGATATGGTATGGTTGTCTTATCAAGGAGGTATTGTATAAATTAGTAGAGTAAGAACTATCACGTCAAAATTAAACTAGAGAGGTAAGAAACCTGGTCGTTACTCTATACTCGTACACACCTAAGTCATAAAGAAAAGATATTATCCTAAAGACCCCACACAACTAACACAAGTATACGAATGGAATAGAGTAATTAATACTTCTCACTCCTTATTACCCTAGGTGATATCGGATAATTGATTTCCTTATGCCAGACATTTGGTATAAGGACTTTTGATGGCGTGTATGATTGATTACGGAGTGATGACCAGGTTTCTTGCTTGGTGGCAGTTGTTTATGAGTATGAGTACGAATTTGTTGGGAAGTGGAGGCTTGGTGTGGGATTTGGAGGTGTGGTGGTGTGAGGTGATGTTGAAGAAATTTCTGATGAGGGGTTTATAGGTACTTGATTTTGATTGTGACGTTAATGATCGTGGGCATTTAATGATTAGGTATTTCTACATGTTTCCAGCATCTTCTTGAAGATGGAAGTGGGTATGGAAGTGGGTAGAAGAAATGAAACAAGTGAGTGGTTTTGTTGGGAATAAGGACGGAGATAAGGGGGTGTGATAATGATAGTAACGCAATTCAAGGATTTTTATTCTTGGTTATGAATTAGAATTTATAAGGTGTTTATAATAGTTAATATCCCTTTAAGGTATATTCGTCGACAGCTAGCTAGGCGAAACTCTAAACATACCTATAGGTAGGCTAGGTTGGAATACTGTAATATATTATTTTAAGAGCCTCGCATAGCTGAAATTATTGTAAGAGCTACTTAGGAGAAGTCAAAGAAATATATCTTTATTAAGCTAATCTGGAGGTCATTTAGGACAATTAAGTTGATTAGTTTAGGAATTCTAGTAGAATTGGTTCTTAGGGTGTGTGAGATTTAGAGAGTTTCGGTTAACTGTCTTATATATATAATGTATATGGAGTATACCAAGTCGTCCTTAAAAGACAATCAATCCATTTAACAGTTTTAACTCCAATTCCCAACCCCAACATAGAATCCAGAATCCCAGTTCTACAACAACCCCCCATCACCACCAACATCACCATCCACACACCCCACTTCAAAACCATCCCCACACACACACCCACTAAGACAAAGCCTGACTCCCCTTCCCCTCCCTCACCACCCTCACACCAGCCCTCTCCTTCCTCACCACAACCATCCCCGTACCAACAACAAACAACACCCCCATCTCCAACGGGATCATCATAACCATCAAGTACAAAGCGGATTTACTCTGCACACACAAGCTACCCCAATGGGGCTGCATCCCCATCTCGACGGCCCGCCACTGGCAGCTCCAGGATTGGAGTGACGAGGTGGTGCGCGAGGTGTTGACGCCGTAGAAGAGGGCTGTTCCGACGAGGCTGGCGATGAGGCAGGTGGTTGGGGCGAGGAGGGAGAGGGTTGTTATTAGGAGGGTGGGGAGCTGGGTTTGTTAGTGAGTTTATATGGATTGAGGTGGGTTGTGAGGTGATGGAAATCGTACAGTAGGGATAAAAGGAATCGCTAGAGAGATACCGCTAGAGACTAGGATCACCGCACTACAAGTGACCAGCGCAATTGTCGGGCGGATATCAAAGTCCCGCGGCCAGAGGGGCACCATCCAATCTTCTCCCCCGCCTTTCGTCTCGTTGTACGTCGATAGTGTCTCTGCGGACGTGGCGAGGATGGCGATGGAAGATAGGAGGGCGAGGACGGTTAATCCTAGACGGATGGAGTCGGTGATTTTTAGGAGAGGGCTTTTGATGGGACGTTGGGGGGTGTCGAATGATTCGAAATCGGATTGGATGACTTCCGATTGGAGCTGGGGTTTGCTTTCTGTGGACATGTTGAGGGTTGTGATATGATGTGTGAGAAAATGGGTATGAACTGAGGTGGAAAAGTTTGGAATATGGAAAGAAGGAAAGAAATGGGTTATTGGAATAAGAAACAGATAGACACACAAACACACTGGAAGAATCAAAGAAGAGGAAACGAAACATTCAAATACTCCCCCTTCCCCCTCTCGCTTCAAACCTCATAAACGCCCTCATGGAGACCATTTGCAGAAAAGTACATAAATAGCACCTCAAGCTTAAGACAGTTACACTACTGTAGATAGTGGAGGTGGTGCACGGGAATGGACAGCGATAGTTGGGCCCTGTAGCCGCTGTAGATGCGGATCCGGGTGCAGATATCTATAACCCCCTCGACTGATGCGCCGTGGTGGGGTTTTTGATCGAGCCAGTGAAATGTGTCGTTGGGTATTTTGAGGGGTGCAGAGAGAGATGGGGCGAGCCAATGAGAGGCCTCGGTTTGGGGTCGGGCGCTTTCTTGCATGTGCTCGCGTAGAACCCCTGAGCGGCTACTTTTCTTGCAAGTTGCAAGTTGCGGAAAGACTTGTCGCAGAGAGTAGGACCCCCCTCGAGATCGTCGACACATTAAGCAGTCATCTTTCCTCAAGAGGGGGTTTGCGATGCAGAAAATTGTGCGTTTCCCTCAGGAGGTTGGTCTTCGGTTTCGAATAGTAGCGACTTTAATTCAGGCTGTATTGTAGGGTTTCACGAATATATCCGGATGTCGGATGGTTCTTTTGGGTTGGAAAGTGTTCTGCGAAGTCGTGTGAGCTTATCCTGTGGGCGAGCTCTACACCTACAATTCCCTTGGGCTTGTTGATGCAGTGTTTGGAGAGAGACTGTGGTACAGTGTGTGTACTGTATGATTCTGTGAATGTATGATAGAAACGGCGAGATAGACACATGAGACGCCAGCTCTCCGACGGTGTTGTAATCCTGCATAGAAAACGTTGCACACCTCGAAAGGCTGCATATCTTCGAACGTCCACCATCTTCCTTGTTTTTTCCTGTTCTTGTTCGATTCCGTAGTCGGTTCGATTCTTGAGTTTGTCTGTGATATATTACTTTGTCAATATATATTGCCTTAACTCCTCCCGTAGCCGTCCACGTATTCCTCTCGTCACGCGTTGTCGTCTAGGGCGTGGGGGACTGACATGTGCTCCTTTTACATAATGTGATCATGTTAGCGAGTCCTTGTTTTCGAACTCGCCATTAATCAAACTTTCAATAAACATTCGTATATACATTCAATTTCCTCTTTGCTTTTTTCGAGAAAATTTGTAGCCTGAGAAGGCATGTGTCATTCAACCATGACGTATGAAATACGAGGATATGCTGTAGAAATGTAGTATCGCCTCCCGGTTGATGTCTTTCGCTTCTTCCACCACTGCGAATGGCAACCAGAAAATCAGAAGGGAAGGATAGACCATATCTGGTACCTGGGTGGCGAAGGATCGCGTGATGCGAATCTTGTGGTTGCGTAGCTCAAGATTCCAGAAAGGTCCTACAAAAAATAAATTAAAGCAACTATTAGATCTGACAGAACACGAAACACAAAAGGTCAATAAATACTCGTTTACTCGTTCCAACGGACCGCAAAAATTAGAAAGGGGGAAGAATTCTATTTTTAGACCAAGACATTGGGGAAGATTTGGAGTAAAAGTTACTCCACCAAACAGAGCAGTCAGTAGTAGTCCTCATACCGGTGGGAGCATTGGTAATAATAGATGGAGATGAAGTCTTAATCGACCTTTCATGCTGTCATATTTGAGTTTCAAAGCCTTCCTTCTGCGTGTCATGAACTAAGTTGTGTTGGCCAAGTCTGACATCCAACCAGAAATTCGGGATTCTTCACCGAGTTCCGATCAGCCCTATCTCTTGGGATCTTCAGGTTTCCTCTGGACGAACCACACTCTCTGCCCCGTAAAAGACTCTTTTCATACTTCAATTTAACCGGCATTGCATTATTTATACTTTCGTAGGAAACCATGATATTTCCGGAAGTGCGAATCGTCCATTCGAATTCTGGCCAGAGAAATATCTCGTCGGATTTGCCTCGGTCGATAGACTCACAATTGATCATCTATTGCTCCGTCTTACTATTGCCCGAGGATTTGGAGCGAGAGAGGCATTTCCTTTGGGACAGCACACGCCTCTTTGGTCGATGACTGCGGTACTTCTAGTGGAGTCCGGTATGGATTGCCCCCACCATCTGACTTTTTGCAAGTGCGACCAAAGCTCCAGAACTGTATGCACAGTGCACAACCTGAACATGGCGGTACACGGGATCTTATCGGGGAATCGGGGGCGCTGTCAACGTCGTTTTTTCTGGGATTCCCTTTCTGGCAAGTCGGTAGACAGGCAGTAGACAATTTTGCGACAGGATTATGCCCAGTGGCCAGTTGCCAGCTCTGATCAGAATGAGCCAGTCACAGTTGCAGCCGGACGACGGCCTGGCCAAAGGGATCATGGCAATAAAGTTCTGCAGTAAGGGGGTTCGGTCGGCGGAAGCCACTTTTGCAGGGGGGAGCTCTTACCCTGGCCCAGATATGGGCATTGATATGGGTAGGGTATGGGTATGATATGCATGGCCGACTAACTGATAACAGGCCCAGAGATAGTGCAAGAGGAGGAAGTAGGAAGTAGGGTCGCATCCTGCCTACGCCTCGAGATATGCGATATCCAGTGAATTATCCATTGGTTCGCTGAACCTTCATACTCAAATATTTGCAGCAGTCGGCCCTCCTTCAAGCATACACCCTTCAGACCTTCTCATCTCCGTGGCCGCGCGGGTTGTTGCTCCTTGCTCCTTGCTCCTTTTACCTACTCCCTATCCATCGCTCCTCTCCCCAGAGTTCTGGTGTACGCTCGTACTCCAAGGGTCCCTCCTACCGCCAGATCCAGACTACTCGTGCGAGAGTTTAATATACAACACAGCCACTACTACTACTACTACTGCTACTACTACTACTACTACTGCTACTACTACTACTACTACCACCACCACCACTACTACATTACTTCAACTACTCCCACCAACTTAACTATTCACTGCCTGCTCTTTTTGCACACTTACACTTTCACCGTTATCTCTTCCTCGAAGCCTTCACCTCGACTTCTTCTTGCTCAGCCTCGATCCTATTTCACCCGAGCAAAGTTCGGCGCTGCGCATCGCATCGTCTCGCTTCGATCAGCGACTTCCCGTGCCTTGTGGTTGGTGTCAGGAGGCCTTGTCTCGTCCGTTTGCTCTCAGCCTACATTGAAACTTGATTCACATATACCCAAAAAAAGCGGACGTATCATTCGAAGCTTCTATTAGTGTCTTTCCAGGCGCCCCAACAAAACCCATTGGTCGCGCGATCGAAATGCCCAACAGTGTTTCCAGCTCAGAACGCTCTTCTTCTCCAAACTCAAACCAAAGCTGTTGCCTCGAACTGAATGCTGTTGTGGTAGTCGATCGGATAAATAAGGAACTTCTTTCGTCGCACCACCCACGCTTGCCTCCCTCGCCAGCTGACAGCATGGCCATTCCCGATCTAAGTCCGTCATCCAGTCAGTCGGAGCTGAACCGTATCACAAGAAAAATCGAACGAGGGGCTCCTGGAGATGAGGCTATATTCGATCAGAATAAAAGTCCACAACAAAAGGAGTTGGCAAAACGTAAGAGTCAATATTATGACGGCGCTTTTGCATACATTCGCGAGTCCGCTTCCTCTGCACGCGAGCGCATATCAAGAGAGTCTATGATAGTTGCCGACATCAGGACCAATGTGATCGTGAGTATAATCAATTCTCAACTTCAATTTGACATTCACTAATTCCATCTTAGGTTCAAGATGAATATGCATTCATAACCGAAATTTCTTATAGCTTATCCGCCCGTTATCAGCGACCCGAGTCCTCAATACTCGTTACGGTCGCGCATTCAGCATGTTTATTATTCGGCGGTTCCTTTGATCCAGCATATACTATGAGTATCACGGCATTGCCATCCCAAGTCCAGCCAGTTACAAATAAGAGAAACTCGGCTTTGATTGCAAAGGCCATGGAAGATAGTCTGGGTGTGGCTCCTAACCGAGGAATTATCAAATTTATCCCTATTTCCGAAGAGAACTTCTCCACCAACGGCAAGACAGTTGCAGGCGAGATTGAGGATTTGGAGAGAGAGACGGCCGAAGAGACCAGTATTACCAGAGGATTATCGGTTCGAAAGAATTCGAGAAGAAAGAGCACGAAGGAATTGAAGAGAAGGAAGTCCAACGTTCAGCTTCCTACTCATAATGAGGATTTGACACCACCTCTCAGCGCTTGCGAGACCAACCCAACATCACCACCGCTTCCGAAGATGCCTCCGATCCCATCCGAAAAGAGCTTTAATGACAGAAAGGCTGAGAAGGTCCAAAGGATGGGACGAAGAAAGAGCTTCATCTCCACGATTTTTGGGAAATGATGAGATGTCTACATCGGGTGTGCTGAAATTAAATACGAAGCGGGTTTGAGGCGCAGCTTTAGCCGAACTTTCCCTCCTTGCATTATTCTTTCCTTACCTAGCGTTGGGAGTTTTGAATCGGGAGCGCGTCAACTAGGGGGGTTGGGCAACACATACATACATGCATACATAGAGTGTACAGTTCGGGGAGTTTGGAAATATGGGCGGGTGCAGGTGTACGAGGGTGGATAATTCCTCAATTGGTGAGAGGACTTTTGGAATGATGAAATATGACTGGATATCAGATCCTCATCATTATAGGAATGAAACAGAATAATTCATATAATTAATACAAATCCAAGAAGAAAAAGAAACTCTTTGTCATTGGTGTCACCTTTCATTTGTAGTCCCAGGAATGGCGGGATGCGAGTCGGCAGGTGACATAGAGCGAGAATCTGTCAGATTACAGTCATTGCTAATTTGCGCCTTGTGTATTTACTTGTGTCTATGAGTAGATCTCACGTTGTCGCAATATCTACCTATTACCTACCTAGGTAATCTGGAGTCTTGTTGGCATTCTTGAAGCTTTATATAACTGGAGTAGTTTAGATTAAGCCAATATGTTACACTACATGCATGAAGCCTAAAGATGTAAAGAGGATTTCATATACTACCTACTATTGGTTTGAACAGAATGTAATAAGAACTCATACCTGATAAGATTCTAGCTGTTCTAAAGTTTCTGATTGGTGTTGGTGAAATATGGAGCGGCAAATCCTCGGCAAAAATTAGATGTACCAAATCGAAGCTCACCTCCAAGGCTACAAAAATTACACCCATCTACCCCACCAACAACAGCCTTGCCATTTCAACCAAGATGACGAGTCTCAAACGATCACTGGTTTCGGATCCATACGCCTCGAACATATCGAGCAAAGTTTACGTGCGATCGACGAAAGCTGGCAAAGTCCAGAAGATTGTTCGCGAATTATATTTGCGACAAGATATTCCCTGCTCGTCGAAGCTATGTACCGCCTGTCTTAAGAATGCGCCCAGAGACGCGAGTGGAATCTGTACGTCCTCCGACCTGCTGTATTAATATGGGAATAGTTTATTAACGTATGGTTGACTTACAGTGGCGCCATTCGTCCTCTCCGCGAAACCTGCAGGTACGAAGAAATATACACAAGGACACTATCTCGTCCCCGACACGAATGCCCTTCTCAATGCGCTCGATCTTTTCGAACAGAAATCTGCTTTCTACGATGTCATTATTTTGCAGACGGTCTTGGAGGAGTTGCGCAATCGGTCGATACCGCTTTATAATCGCCTCATTGGATTGACGAAGAGTGAGGAGAAGAGATTTCATGTTTTTTTCAATGATTTCAGATTGGAGACATACGTCACAAGGGGAGAGGGAGTGAGTATCAATGACCGAAACGATCGCGCGGTACGGAGAGCTGTGAAGTGGTATAGTGAGCATCTTGCGCAAGCTGTGAAGGCTGCGGATGGAAAGTCTGGTCAGGTCCCCGCGGTGGTGATGTTGAGTGATGACAAGGAGAATTTGAAAAAGGCGAAGAAGGATGGGATTGATTCTTGTTCCCTCAGGGAATATGTGGATGGATTGGATGATGCGAATAATTTGCTGGATATGATTGCAGTGGTTAAGGAAGGAAGAGAGATTAAGGATACGAAGATGGTACAGAAAGTACACAAGGATTATCTGACAGTGTCGAAGATGATGACGGGGGTGAAAAATGGGACTTTGCATCAGGGTATCTTCAACGTTACGCCATACAATTATCTGGTCGGATCGATAAAGGTTCCTGCTTTCGATAAACCCCTTATGATTTTGGGTAGAGAGAGTATGAACAGAGCTGTACACGGAGATGTGGTGGTTGTGGAAGTTTTGACCAAGGACCAGTGGAAGGAGGCGTCAACCAAAATTATCGAGGAGGAAACTATTAATAAGGACGAGAACGCGGATGCCGAAGATGGCGAAGCTGTGGTTACGGAGAGGGAGCAAAGAGCGCTACAAGAGGAGGTCAAGAGAGTTCACAGCAAAACATCCGAAGGACGAGCACAACCTACTGCAAAGGTTGTCGGTGTTATCAAGCGAAATTGGAGACAATGCGTTGGACATATTGAAGAGTCATCTGTCAGCAAGTCAGGAAAACCACAAATGGTGTTCTTGATCCCTATGGACAAGAAGATCCCCAAGATTCGTGTTAGGACAAGACAGGCAGCAGAAATTGTGGGCAAGCGTGTTTTGGTCACCATTGATTCGTGGGATGTAGATTCGCGATATCCCGTTGGCCATTTTGTCCGGTCACTCGGTGATGTCGAAAATAAGGCTGCAGAGACTGAGGCATTACTTTTGGAGTACGATGTTCAATATCGTCCATTTCCAAAAGCTGTTCTGGATTGCCTACCGGCGGAGGGTCATGATTGGATAGTACCACCAAGTACTGATGACCCTGGATGGCAAGATAGGAGAGATCTTCGACATCTTCAGATTTGTAGTATCGATCCTATTGGGTGCCAAGATATTGACGACGCCCTACACGCTAGGCCCTTACCAAATGGCAACTTTGAGGTTGGTGTTCATATTGCAGATGTGTCACATTTCGTCAAGCCAAATAGCGCAATGGATGCCGAAGCAAGCATACGAGGAACATCGGTTTATTTGGTTGATAAACGTATTGATATGTTGCCAATGCTCCTTGGTACAGATCTTTGCTCACTAAAACCATATGTGCAACGCTACGCATTCTCAGCAATCTGGGAGATCACACCTGATGCTGAGATTGTCAACTCTGAATTTACTAAATCAGTCATCAAGTCGAGAGAGGCATTTAGTTATGAGCAAGCCCAGCTTCGCGTGGACGACCAATCGCAACAAGACGATCTCACTCTGGCTATTCGCACATTGCTTACGTTGTCCAAAAAGTTCAAGCAAAAGCGTATGGACGCCGGAGCTTTGAGTCTTTCTTCTCCAGAAGTCAAAGTAGAAATGGAATCCGAAACTTCAGATCCTATTGACGTCAAAACGAAAAAGCATCTTGACACCATGTCTTTGGTCGAAGAGTTCATGTTGTTGGCCAATACTAGCGTAGCTGCGAAGATTTACTCTGCTTTCCCACAAACCGCCATGCTTCGTCGTCATGGGGCTCCCCCAAAGACCAATTTCGAAGAACTGGCTCTTCAATTGAAGACCAAACGTGGACTTGAATTAAGTGTAGATTCATCCAAGGCCCTCGCGGACTCGTTGGATACATGCATTGATCCCAATGAACCATTCTTCAATACCCTCGTTCGAATCATGGCAACAAGATGTATGATGGCTGCAGAGTATTTCTGCTCCGGAACCCAAGCATACCCAGAATTCCGACATTACGGTCTAGCGTCCGAAATCTACACCCATTTCACATCCCCCATCCGTCGGTACGCAGACTTGGTAGCCCACCGACAACTCGCCGCCGCCATCGACTACGAACCCATCCACGCTGCCGTACGTTCCAAGGGCAAACTCGAAGCCGTCTGCCGAAACATCAACGTCCGTCACCGCAACGCGCAACTCGCCGGCCGTGCATCGATCGAATACTACGTCGGACAAGCGCTCAAAGGTCGCATCGTCGAGGAGGAAGGCTTCGTGATGAAGGTCTTCAGTAACGGATTTGTGGTTTTCGTCCCCCGATTCGGGATCGAGAGTCTTATCCGCCTGAGGGATCTTGCGGAACCGGAACCGGAGGGGGTCTTTGATGCGGAGGAGTATGTCCTGGAGACCAAGGGCAGTAGGGAGATTCGAGTAGAGTTGTTTGGGAAGGTGGTGGTGAGGATTAGTGATGTGCTGGAGGAGAAGACGGGGAAGAGGGTGGTGAAGAGTGAGTTTGTGAAGAGTGGTGGGAAGGAGTGAAGTGAGGGGGTTTTGTGAGGAAATGGGATGTTGTGAATTTATGGTGATATATCGTCCGTCCCTTTTTGTGGGTGCCCGTGTATACCACTCAGATAGTGAGATGCTAGATGAAAACAGAATATAACATTTCCCTCGGAGCTCCCACAGTGATAGGTATAAATAGAAAGTATATTTCCTATAATTAACCTCAACCAATCTAAATCTAATGATATAGTTTCCTAGAGATCCTTAAACCCGCCTCGGCCCTCGTACCGTAGAAGAAACTTGGATAATCGACAAACGCTCACTCTGCGAAGAACTAAGAGACGATCTAGTTTTAGTAATAAGGATAGGACTGGCACTCTTTTCGATTCTTCGCAAGTCTCAAAGCCTGTATTAGATATCCCATGGAAAGCAGTACAAAGAAAATCTTGGTTTAATGAAATGATTCTGAAATGAAAAATCCATTCTTCAATTCTCGGAATTATCAAACTCGAAATCGAACTTTTTACTGTACCTCCTACACCCGTCTCAACCTAACGAACGCCAAACACCCCTCATCCCGAAAATAGGAAATTCCTAGCTAAAGCATCATGGAAATTTACTCTTGCATAGTAACATCATCAGCAACTTCGTGTTTTCCATCTCCCCAAAGCCCTTCCAATTTGAATTCTGCAGCCCATTCTGTCACGATTTCTTTCTGATCACCTGTGACAGCCACTCCCTTTGCGTCAACGGCAGGTTTGGTGGAGTCGATGACTGTGAGAACGGGTGCATCCATCCAGCCTTGGATTCGGCCGTCTCGCCAATCGGTGATGACTGTTGTCGCGGCACTGGCAATATTTGGGACTCCTCCCTTTCCGAGACGTCCCCGCTTTCGAGCTACTTGGACGAGAAAATCGGTTGTTGGGTCGCCGTTGGTCTTTAGGAGAGGTGGGAGACTGTAGACATCCATAAGTTTTGAGACCATGCCCGCAGAGGCGGAAAGGCGTTTGAGAAGAAGTGTGACTGCTGGAACTGGGTCTTCGATTTGTTTGGGTGGGATCGCGTTGAGGAGGACAAGACGGGCCTGCTCTTCGATTTTGCTTGCCTTGGTGGCTGATGCGTCTAGGGATGATGGGAAGACAATACCGGGTGAGTCAAGAAGCTTGAGTTTGCTGTCGATTTTGACTTCTCGAAGAGCTGTGGTGACTCCTGCTTCTGCGCCAACTGGACATGCTGCACCTGCACCACCCAGGCGAGATGTCAAGGCGTTGATGACTGAGGATTTTCCGACATTAGGATATCCAATAACACCAACTGAGATGGCGCGCTTCAGTTGCTTAGCAGCGGCATAGGATTTTAATGCCTTGAACAGAGTTTGTGATGTGCTCTGTACTGTGAGTTGCTTGTGATTGAAAGTGTGCGCATTTGGTGCAGGGCCTGATGCTCGCAGAGGCAGAGTTGGGAAATAACGGCGGAGATGAAGAAGCCAGGCCTTGAGGACTGGAGCAGGAATGAAATCGATTTTGTTCAAGATGAGGATGAGTCGCTTTCCACCGCTTGCTGCGGCCATAACCATTCGCTCAACCTCTTTTGATCTAGTGCCTTCAGGATCGCGAGCATCGAGAACATAGAGAACTACATCGGCTTGATCCACAACTTGTTTGAAGACCTTGTCGAAAGCTTTTCGTGATCCATCTTTCCGTGTTGGCAGCGTCGAAATATCGATACCATCTCCTTCAGGTTCAGACTCGGAATCGTCGTCTTCATCCATCTCATCCCCGCTCTCTAGCTCCTCGTCATATTCTGCCGCAGCCGCACGAGCGCTTGCCAGAAGAGCAGCCATGGGGTTCGCATCCTCATCGATATCGTCATCCAATTCCAATTCCATTCCCTCAATATCCTCCTCATCCACATCTTCCATGCCCTCTTCTACCTCTTTCTCTGCCTGCACTCCCGTTTTGGTAGCTTTCGCATCTGCTCGCCTCTTGGCCGCATCTTCAGCTTTTCTCCTTCTTCCCTCTTCAATCTCAGCCAAAATCTTGTCCTTGTATGGGAATAGGTTAGGGATTCCAGGATCCTTCTTGAGCTTCGACCGCCATTCTGGATTCGACTTTGCGAGCTTGCGGGCTTTTCTTTGTTTTGCGGAAGAGGCTTTGACGATTTTGTTGCGCAGGCGTACGGGTACGCGCTTACTTTTTGGTTCTAATATATCAATCAGTGTGTATAAGATAACCTGGTTATGCCATATACATACTTCCTGGCTTGTTTCCGACCATTGTGAAAATTGATTGTCGTGGGATGAATGTGCAGGTGGGATGCTGCTTGAAAATGTTATCGGAATCTTTTTTTCCTATCTCTAGATGGTGGCTTAGATGACAGGGGAGTCTGTGGCTGGACTGTCCGGCTCCCGGCTAATCAGAGACCCGGTCTTTTCTCCGGGTGCACCTCAATACCTTTACGGAGTCTCGAGGGAGTGTATTGAGCTAAAAAGTCTTAATAAAAGTTAATGAAGTTAATTTAGATATAATAGATTCATATCTTTCATTGGAAAATGAAAATTTATATATTATAAATATGCTAAACCGATCATACTTACATGAGGTTGATTGTGTGGGCCTTCCTAGAACAATGGCACTGTTAGTGGATGGCCCGGCTCAGGGACCAACGTTATTACACGTGATGTGTCTTCCCCTGGGCTGCCATTTCCAAGGCCAGTCATGCCAACGAATCCACCCCGCCACTAATAAGTACTTGAAGGAACCTTGTCCAAACATTCTGATCAGCTTATAACTTTCTTACTCTTCAACGTCCAAACTTCTTTCAGAAATTTCGAGATTTTCTCATTCACCAAGGAACTCTTCTCGATCGGTTCGCCACATTTGGAAAGCCAAAAGTTTTGTTGCACATCGCACTCAAAAATTGACTACCCTTATCACCCACCATCAAATTGGACACAGCATAACCTCCACTTAACCTTTCTGAACACAACAACATTTATTCTGAAGCCCTACATTCTTGGAATCATCTTCTCCACCACAAAAACACAGAATACCCCAAAATGAGTTCTCCAAGTCCAACTTTCTCTCTTCCGCCTCAAAAAGTTGCCTTTTCCGGTTTACTATTTGATATGGATGGTACAATTATCGACTCAACGGCGGCAATTGAAAAGCATTGGGAAGCGCAAGTTTTATTGTTATCATAGCGAAGTCTTATTGTCTGATTATGCGTGTTTTGTAGGATTGGTGGAGAGCTAGGTGTTGATCCTAAAGTTATTTTGGAGACTTCCCATGGGAAAAGAAGTATAGATACTCTTAAATTAATTACTGGCCCCGAAAAGGCTAATTGGGAGTGTACGTTACCCAGACATAAAAGTCGTCCGTTTCATGCCCTGCTCTATTCACTTGGGGAACAGCGTCGAACATTTCGGCAACCTTCAGAGCCTTCCTTGAGATCGAGACGAGATTTCACAATCTACGTATTTGAGTACCCTGAGGGCATTCAAAGCGGCAGCATGTAAACCTCTAAGTTCTGATTTTCTGGGCTGATTTAGGTAATTTGCCCAGATCTCTTGGGTCAATTATCTTTATTCTCTTGGAGTGGTCGAATAATAATGACAGTTACTTTGAGTCATTGGAACAATTGTGGACTGTCCCTTTTGTAATGCCCACAAGATGTGGATTTATAGCAGATGCTAACGTTCTCTCTATTCAGATGTCAAACACATGGAGGGGCTCTTGCCAAAACTCTACGGAAACGATGCTACTGAAATTCCTGGCGCCAGAGCACTCTTGGATTCCATCACCTCCGCCAAAGCTCCTTGGGCTATTGTCACATCTGGAACTACTCCCCTTGTTACTGGATGGCTTAGCGTGCTGAAGCTTCCACGCCCAGAGCATTTGGTCGTTGCTGAAGATGTTGAGAACGGAAAGCCTGATCCAACTTGTTATGAGATGGGAAGGGACAAATTGGGGTTGAAGCGTGGTGATGAGATTCTGGTTCTTGAGGACTCACCTGCTGGCATACAAGCAGGAAAGGCTGCAGGATGCAAAGTCCTGGGCGTCGTTACATCACATACTGTCGAGCAAATAATTGCTGCAAAGCCCGACTTTATCGTCCAGGATTTGAGTAGTGTAAAGATGGCGGGGTTCGAGGATGGAAAGGTTACACTGGAAATCTCCAATGCTCTTGATCTCCAGTGATCTACTAGATGGGTACGATTTCTGCATCGATCATGCTGGTTCCCGTAATAGACTGACATAGGTTACCACAACATGACGGTGAACCATGCAGCTGGTGAGCAGAACAGTATTTATCTGAGACGGCGTCCAACCAGCCGGAGGGGCTGTGAGAATGGTTCATATTAGATACATACCTTGGAATATAAAGAGAGGAGGGGTTGATATAGATTGGAATAACTTTCATAATTGCAGGATATCATGAGATTTATTGCAGGAAAGAGGCATTCGCTTGTATCCTCCCTCGGTCCTCTAGTCGTTCCAAGGTCTTAGAACACTAGATCTCGTGACATGTTGTACGATGGAATACGAGTACAAATGGGACAGATGATGTGCTAGGGTTCCAGAACACGCCATCGATGGTGATAACAATTGCCTTGTAAAAACAACCGTGGTAAAATTATGGTGATGTCGCGGTATTTACTGCACTCGCCTACTAGTACGTCGATCGGCTCCAAGCACCTGCAATCCATGGTGTGTCTTGGCGCCAACTTGACTCTCGGGGCAAGTCAGCAAATGGAGCCGACGCATCTCAAGCAAATTTGCGGGCCTCCACACATGGATCGGTACTGTATCAGTATCAACCACCTGCACCCGACAGACCGACCAAAGCCACCTGTACTCGTAACCAGTGCCAACCACCTGCACCATCGCACTCCACCATCAAGTATTGCGCGGGTCTGTCACTCATAAAAGGACGTCGACGTCTTATCGTTGTCACGCACAAAGAAACCTGCCTTCATTGCAGCATCCCGTCGCCTCAAGTCTTTCCGACCGTGGTATGTCAATGTCACGACCACCTGATTCTCCTCAGATTGCTTTTTCTTTTTTGACATCAAAAATCTCAAATCCCATCACCAACTGAGATCGGACTGTGCTAACGCCAAGCATAGTCTTTGGTGTTGTTGAACCATCTCATCTCCAACAAACGTACTAAATCCGGAACATCATTCGATTCCCACATCAGACGACCCGACGACGGCAACTCAACCTTCATCACCAGCTCAGAGAGAGTCGAAAGTCCCAGTTTCAGTCGCAAAGGCGGGCGGTCCCTTGAACCGTTCGCCCGTGACTTGAGAGTAGCCGAGGCCATGGAGGTATGAGATCCCCTTTTCCTTTAACTTGACGTCGCTGTTGCTGCCAGGGGTGAAGGGCATCACATTCATGGTATTCCTGTCAACCGAAATTTTGTCTCTGCGCTGCCTCATCCCCTTCCGTTTTTGGGTAGCGAGGAGGGGTCACGAGATGAACGCTATGCTGCCACAACGGCAGAAGCATTTAATTGCTCCCCTGGGTGCCAGGCCCTCGGGTTCATGGACCAACACACCTCCTATCACTTGATTTGATTTGCATGTTGCGAGTATGGTCAGAAGCAAGAGCAAGAGAATCGTCGTAGGTCTATTCCTCCGACGAGCGAGCATTGCCAATCCCTTCGAATGTTGGACTTGTACCACCTCGTAAGCCCAGATTCAAAATGAATCGCTCCGACCCGACGAGACAGAACCAGTTGTTGCGGGTAGATCCGGCGTCACCTTGTCGCTGCCAGCGCAGAAACATCGTGTTTGCTGTTCGCTTCCCAACCTTGCTTTATATACCTTCATCTGCCTGGGAAGCCTCCAATTACGCCGGGTCATTTCAAGTGCCGCCTGCGACTCTCCGTCCGACACCAAGATTGACATCATAACCCCATCCCGCTGCCTGGTCCTTTCACAATTCGAGTAATTTGACCAGGACTGATGGCAAACGGATTGGATAACCTCACCTTCCGGTATTGGTTTGGTGTTGTCTTGAAAGTTGGGCATGGAAATTTATATTTGGGCGAGCTCCGTCATCGGCACCCTCCTCAACTCTGGCCTCAAAAGCTCCGAATGAATCACATACGCAAAGCTGCGTAAACTCTCCTTTATCTTTCTTTTCTGGATCTATTATTTCGCAATTATCTTTTACCCCCGAGCAATATGTCCCTTCTCCAAACTGGACGAAGGAGGACCAAGTTGGATCATTCATATAATGATCGTCCCCGTCAAGGTCCATTTCGCCATATAAGTCCAGCTCAGCTAAGTCTCGAACGTGTTCATGAACAGAACCGCCTTGGTACTCCAAAGAAAGATGGCACAAAAGCTTCTGAGCAAGCCCCAGGCAAATCTGCAAAGGGAAAACCAAGATTGCTGCTAATGGGCCAACGAAGGTACACCAACCAATCTTTCAATCCATTTATTGTGTTAACAAGTAGTAGAAGCGGAAAATCTTCTATTTCGAGTGTGGTATTTCACAAGATGCCTCCAAATGAAACTTTGTTCCTCGAATCGACGGCAAGGATTCAGAAGGACTCAATGCAGTGAGTATTTCATTAGGTACAATCAGGCTCAATTAGGCAGATCTAACCATTTATTTTCAGTTCATTCATGGACTTCCAAGTTTGGGATTTCCCAGGCCAAGTTGACTTTATGGATCCTTCTTTTGACCTGGATGCAATTTTTGGGGAAATCGGGGCACTTATCTGGGTCATTGATGCACAAGACGATTATCTTGAAGCTATAACCCGGCTCAATGGAACTATATTGAATCTTCAACCGAGTTATCCTAACGTCAATATCGAAGTCTTCATACACAAAGTCGATGGTTTATCTGATGATTACAAACTTGACATTCAAAGAGACATCATGCAACGAATTCAAGACGAACTTTCAGACCATGGGGTCGAGAATGCACCAATCAATTTTCATCTCACCTCAATTTACAATCACTCGATATTTGAGGCTTTCAGCAAGGTCATACAGAAGTTGATCCCTCATTTATCTACACTTGAGAATTTACTCAACGATTTGTGTCGCGCTTGCCGGTTTGAAAAAGCCTACCTTTTCGATGTACTCTCCAAAATATACATCGCCACCGACGCTTCACCGGTTGACATGCCATCATACGAAATATGCAGCGATTACATTGATGTCATTGTGGACGTATCCGAAATCTACGGCTGGGACCGACCAAAAGAGTACATTAAGTCTCTGGAAGGGCCACCATGGAATAAGAAGCTAGAGGACCAGACGGCTTGCAAGGACGCGGAGAGTGCAATTGTACTGACAGACGGAAAGCGACCAATCATGCTGAGGGAGGTTAACAAGTACTTGGCGTTGGTGGCTATCATGTGCGAGGGAAGTTACGAGAAGATGCCAACTGTTATTATGAATGTCGAGGGAACGGTTAAGGGATTGATCGAGGTATTTGAGATTACAAAAGAGCGGAGGTGATAATTGGGATAGATAAGTGAATTGATTCGTCGCTCCGGTATCGGTGCCTGGGAGTGACATAGCTGTCGAATCACAATACTTGGAGGTTTTTGAGACAAGAGAGTTGAGAGTTGTGAGTTGTCGATACTTTCTGTACTACTATTTCAATCTAAATACATGGATTTTTTTCGTTTTTTCCTGGGACTTATTCCGAACTCGCACTTCTAAAAATATCATCCGTCTTTCTCTAATATGATCGTTCTTGTGATGCCTAATCAATAGCCAAAACATTGAAAGCTCCTCACACCATCATGGTACAATCCTAGGAACTCCTGAACATCACTTCTGACTTCCGTACGGTCGCCTTTACAATCGGGAGCTGTGTAGACGTAGCAAGCTTTTGTTGTTGTTGTGTTTACTGTTGCAGTTGTTCGTCAGTATACTTCTCATCTCTGATAACTTGATTGACGTACCAGACATACTTCCACCCTGAGCATACCAGAAAAACGGCATGCGGTAACAGTTTGTGAAGCTAGGGTAGGGGTCTGGATATGGGTATGAGGGGTTGATGTACGCTTTGTAGAGGAATCCTGTGTAGGAGTCTTGATTGTAGAATTTGGCACTCAGGATGGGGGGTTTGGCGTTTCTGCGGTTTGTTTTAGTAGACGTGCGGGATTGATGTTATGGGACATAATTGGGATATGTGCTAGGAGGGTTTGGTTTGGTTTGGTGGCTAGGGTATTGGTGATGGGATGCGAGATATGGAGAGTGTGACGTACGAGGGACCTGTGGGTTGGATATTACATGACTGAGCGTGGTTAGTAGGTGGGTTTTGAGAAGTAGTTGATAAGGATGGGGAACTTACGCATTCTATGGTTTGCGCTCCTGTTGTGGTTATCCATCTGCACCCGGTTTGCGTGCAGTCGTTGAAGAAGTTTCCCGAATGTTCGTCGTTGGATTGGCTTGAGGCGAGAGCGTATGGGAGAAGAGCAAGAAATGGCGTGAGGAGGAGGGTGGTCGAGAGCTGCATGGTTGGTTGACTTTCCAAAAACTTCTTGTTGTGTTTTTTTTTCTTTTTAGAGGTGGATTGTTTTGGGATGTCAAGAAAACTACGGAAGATTTGAAGTAGTGTCCTTGATGGGCAACTCTAGTTGATGGGTTGAGCTGCATGTTTGAGTTTGGTCTGGAATTGGCTCTTGAGGAACTAGATGGATATAAGGAAAGAGCACCTGTGCTCGTCTTTACGAGTAGCGAAGGGCAAGTACGAGCTACAAGATGCACTTCAAAACACAGATGACTTCAACTCAGGGTAGAATCAAGAGTTCATTCGGAGATGTAGAGTAATAGCTACGAGCCCTTAATATCTATGAACAGTCTATCATAATCCAAGACGATGTTAAAATAGACGAAAATCGAGTAATCTAATGGATAAGTAAGATCAAGTTCCTCTTGCCACAAAAGCCATATCCAAATAGTATGCTCGCGCCAAGTCGAATGCACTCATCAAAATTCCCAAAGCTCGTCTAGATCATCCGGAGAGTGACCCGCGGTATACTGAACGCCGTCTGTCCTATTCGAAGCAGTTGTCCCACCTCCCGCCTCCCGGTTCAAGGAAAACGATCCGTAATATCCAAAGGGCCCGTATTAGTAACCAACAACTTCGTCCTCTCAACCCCGAGCAACGCCGGCGCAACAGCCCACTGTCTTCCCCCTAGTTTAGTCTTATTGCTCCCAGGAACGACATGATTCTTGAAGAAATTCCCCTCTTCATTGATAGTCCTCTTGTAAGCCACCATGTCGGAAAACGTCGATGCAAACACCCCCTACCAATAATCAGCCGCCACTAGCACCTCCGTTTCCACAATCGCTTTCTGGTCAAAGTGTATGTGATGCAACTTGTTCAGTAAAGCTGGGGAGCGGGAGAGCAGCGTGTCTTTATTGTAAATGGAATATCCAAGGGATCGGTGAAATGACGATGGAATCGATTCAATGGATCCAAGGACCCCTCGGGCGCGAGGAATGGTAGACTTGACACGGGATTTCTTGGAGTTGAGACGCGAAAGCAAATGGTGGTTGATGAGCCGCACGGTGGTTGAAGGTGAACCGGTTGACAGCGAGCTGCGATTGGAAGCAGGGCTTACCGGGTCATCTACTGCGACACAAGTACTGATGGGAAATATCGCCTATTGATAACTACTTTGAATACTCAAAAAGAAATATGATTATTGTTTGATTCTGATAGATCGTCTAAGCACATAAGCTTCGGTGTGGCCAGAGACCAACTTGAAACTTAAACCTAGATCATGGTCTTGAGTATTCAGATATCCTGTCTTATTGTACTAGATATCCAGATAGGATATCAAAGCGGGGGAGTCTTCGCAGTTTACGAAACTGCAATTGGTATATGGTTGGCAAAAACGAAAATTAAGATTTCCTGTGACAATAGGCTATCTTTTCCTGTGACAATAGGCCATCTGCGACGAAAGATCCTCTGGTCCAAGTCTCTGTAGCTAGAGTATCCCATTCCAATCTTCTAGCAATCCTCGAAAAATTGGATCACCATCTTGGTATCCTTCATCGCCGTATTATCCCGGTCCTGCACGCGTAGGACCTCCAATGACCTGCTGGTTGTTCTTGACACATGCAAAACATGTCTATAATATGTTAGCATACCATAATTCAACAAGAGGAATATTACATCACTTACCGCGTAAGAGATGGTGTCATGTCCTCTGGCGTTACGGATTTGGGCCGCCGAGAAGCAAATCCTGTGTTTGAAAACACCACAACATTCCGGAGCGCCTTCTTCTCCTCCACAAACCAATCCCTCCTTACAATGCTGACAGATTCCACCGACAGCACCATTCGTCGCCATTTATTTTGTCGGCCGCTCAGAAAGCGAGAAACCTGGCACTTTGGACATTTCTTACTATAGTGATCAACAGCGAAATGAAAGCTCAGACAGTAGGCATACGCCTGAAACTTACGTATTCGCGGTGCCATCGGGTGCTCCCGTCACATAAAATATTGGGTTGCGGTTCTGAATTGGTCTATTTGGGTCAAGTGCCGAACCGAGGACGACCGGCTGATCACATTCGTCGCTCCTCATCACCTTGTCAAGCCACTCTTGGTAATGATGATAGTCACCGAGGCTGTATCTGACCGCAGATTCAGGATCCAATAGTGCCTCTCTGTTGGCCGATGCGTTCTGTAAATGTCAGTTATGATCCCCCCCCGCAATAACTACTGCAGAGTGCGGTACCAAAAAAACCGGGCCAAATTCCCCCGTTGAAAACGACAGTTGCCCATGGGCATCCACGTTCTTTCCTTTGGTACCAGGAAGTGTAGGTATTGATACCTTTGTGTGCTGTATCCTCCAATTCCGCCATCGCACGAACAGGGGCCAAGAGAGTCTCTCTCTCTGCCGCAGAGCGAGTGAGGACGTACGCCCACACATAGTACTGGCGGCAGAAAATGGTCAGCTCTCTCTCAGGCAGTGATGGTACCTGTTTGGCATGAGCTTCAAGGTAATAGTTAATGACTTCTGGCACCGCCCATGGCTTTGAGATGTTAGTACGATACGGAATATGGACACCACGCAAGAATCACCGTCGACTTGTTGAAGAGTGGTGGTGGCGGCCCGGCACCATGCCAAACTATACCAAATGGGTTGCCTGTTGTTGGGAGCCGGTACTCTGCTGTCGGTTGGATGGGCTTCTCGTAATTGATTTCTTGGTTCGCAATTGCAGACCCGTCGGCCAGCAGGATTCCCCGTTGTTCATGTGGAAGTAGGGCGCGAAATGTGTTTGACATCTTGAGTGATAAAAGAAAAAGGTGGAAGGCGGTGGGCCCTCCGAGAAAAGCCTTTGTAACGATGCGAAGATGGTATGATGGTTTGGAGAGGTTAAAGAGGATGAGGGGATGTGTCGAGGTGTTGTATGTATTTTTGCGGGACCACCAGCCGCCTCGCGTGTAAATGGTAAAAGCGGGGTGGTTGTTGTGGTGGTTGTGGGGAGATCGACGCGCGAAGAAGGAGTGGGAGGTTGAAGTGTCGGGAGGACTCGACGAGATCGCTTATACGCGGCTGGTTGCTGGGGCAAAGGTGAGTCCCCTTCCTGCGCTCCTCTGCCGTCCCCCCTTGCTACCAGAAAGCGGCACGGAGATCAACTGGGTAGTTGCAGTAGAGTCGTAATGACTATCAAGGAATACATTTGAAAGAATTGGGAAAAGTAAGTCAGATATCCTTCTCTTGTAACTAAAAGCTATTGAGTGTAAGGGTACTTTGAAGTTAAGCAAGAATGTAGAGCTTCGAGCAATAACTTCGTACACGCACTCCAGACCTCAAGTCAACTTCAAGTTACAGTAACGACAAGACAAAGTGTGTACATACAATCCTACCACCGCTACCGAAAAACCCAATTAAGCGAACCCCTTGAAAAAAGAAAAAGGAAAAACGGGATCGAATCCGCGGGGCTTCGAATCTATTCCGAAACTTAAGGAGAGTAGATACATACAGTATGTATCATCACATAAAAAGACCACAAGCAACGATAGGAACTGAGTGTATTGGCATGCTATATCCAAGTTCGAAACTGAAATTCCAACTCCCATCTCCGCCCACAATACATTTTCGACTCTCTACCATATTACATAAGACTAACAAGCTCTTCCTCATTTATGTTCAGGACATCACGCTCATCGCTCAGATCACTTCTACATCTCTACCCTTCCTACAATCACCAACCACCACCACCAAATCCGACGAGAAGGAACGCTGCAAAAGTATAGAGCACCAGCATCACTCCCAAAAAGCTAACAGGAAACGAAGTAGCTACAATCTGCATGCACAACCCACTCGGATTCATCGCCCTCTTCACCCTTACAGTAATCCTTTATTCTTCCCCTTCCATAGCAATCTCTACCCACAACCCACAAGTCACCAAGCCCACCAAAAACAGAAACCCAACGAAATCATCATAAATCAAAAGACCTCAAATCTACCACTTAATCACTCACTCACTCACGCAAAAACACCACACACAAAAGGCAGTAAGCACTAGAAGTCTCCATATCAAAAAATAAAGGTCTCAAGAAAAAAGCCCAATAAAATTAAAAAAACCCAGATCAAAATCAATCAAATCCAACAACGCCAGCGAGGGGGGGTCTCTGCACTTGCCCCTCGAAAGTAAAAAAAATTAAAGTAACAAAAAAAAAAGGG